CAATGTCTTTGAATTTTCATCCTCTAAAGTTTTCAACTTAGAATATTTTTTTGTGAAAGATAACTTCCAACTTTATGGTTACCATGGTAATTAGTACTCTTTTGATATGTGTAGTGAGACACATCTAGAAGTGCAACATGATTGTCAACTTCGAAAAAGCGTAAAAAGTGCCAATTTTGTCATTGAAATAGTGATATGTGAAATAAAAACTAATCATTTATGAGATTGTATTTTTGGAAAGAGAAAAGATTGGATATTGTTTACATTCTAATTTTTCAAAATAACCTTGGAAATAAATGAGAGTTCTTGAAATGGAAGGAAATTTCACTATTTTTAGTGTTGCACTGTTTAGGGCAGTTTGGGATACCTAATAAAATGACGATATTTATTAAATTTCTAGGAGCAAAAAAATGTGCAAGAAGCATTTTTAACTTATACAGGGTGTGATGCATAAATTGTAATCTAAATTACATAAAAATGAAAATAACACTGAAATCTCATTTTAAAAGATATATTTACCAAAATTACAAAAAATCTTGAAATACTAAAGAGTAATAAATTTATTCAATAAAATCGCCACTGGCTTCAATCATGCCCTCTAGATGACTTCGGAATCATTAGCAACTCTTCTGGACGGTTTCCTTGTTTAAGTTGGTGATTTCTGTCATAATCCTTCCTTACCCTCAATTCATCTTTAGCGTTACAAGGAGTTTGTTGTTCTCTCACTCAATTGCATGCCACACATAAATAATAAAAGGGGTTGCAGTCTTGGGAATTAGGTGGTGATATGTAAGGGGTAATGTGGTTGCAGAAATTGTCTGACAGCCATGACTGGGTTCTCCTGCTTGTGTGGCATGGTGCAGTCCTGTTGCCAGACATAGGGTCTTCCAGCAGCCACCCTCTTGACCCAGGGCAGCACTATCTCCTCAAGGCACGTGGTGTAAACCTCCATATTGAGTCTGATGCCTTGTAGGAAGATGAATGGAAGCATAATGTCGCCATCATTATTGATCACTCCAAACACCTTTGTAATCATCATTAGACTCATCCAACTCTTTCCAAATCCTCTACACTGTCCTAAGATTGACACCCAAACACTTTGGACTGTTTGTATTGAAGCTTGCACCACAAATGCCAAGCAGTACAGCATGCCATTTCCAAATTTCTGGTGGAGTGAATTGTGTTGTTGTACTCTTTTTCTCACAGACAGTGCCCAGTTGACCCTAGTATACTGTGCAGTTGATGAAATCAAAAACAATGTGCATGTACAAAATCAAAAATATAAAATGACAACAATTTACCCTGTAGATACCACCAAAAAAATTTTTTTAAATAATCTGTTACTAACTATGATCTTTTATTTCAATTACTTGCTCTCTCACACACACCTAAATTAATGACTTCTAACTAGTCATATTAACTACTTTAGTTTATTGTGTTGAACCTTTTTAAAGAAGGGAATTCTTTGTGTGTATTTTGTACTTTGCTAAGTACCTAACTTGAAGGAAAGTTTGAAACTTTGTTTTTCCATCTGCCTAGATGTGAACAAGCAATTATATACTGTCTTTCTTCTGTTTTCTGTTTGAACAGAACCAACCCACCCTAGGTCAGAGAAGTCTTGGCTATAAAATCTGAAAGATAATTCCTTTCTTCAATCACATCAATTTATTGTTATGATATAACAGACCTCGGGATGGTTTGGAAAATGTTGGTGGGGTTAAATATATGTTTATTAAATTTACATTTGCCAGGCATTAAAATAATGGGGACAGGAAATGGGTCTTCTAAGGGAAAGGCTAAAGAATTAACCAGAGAGTCTCAAGAATTAAGGAGAACATTTAGCTTGGAAATCTAAGAGTCTCAGTATGCTAATACAACATTCTCTCTCCTATAAAGTTAAGTAGGGAGGATATTATTCATGGCATTGCAGATCCAGCCTCTGCAGTACTGTCACAGGCCATCTGGAGTGATTTGGCTCTGAGTTTGGCCTGTCAGTTGTATCTGAGCATGGTTCAGCATGAGTGAGTGGGGCTTGTGCAACAGGCACTGATGTAATGGTGCAGTGGGTTTAGATACGGTTTAACATTAGTAGATGGTGTGTTGATGGGTGGTTATGTCAGCTGCACCACAGGGTTCTTGTCCAGTTAGTTCTTGCAGGCCTTAAGAATTGCCTGTTCCTGCGACAGATACTGCCATTCCAAGTTCCCATAATTTGGGTTTCTCACCCTGAATGTGAACTTGGCAACACTAGATGCTGATGACTATTCTGTTGGTCATATCTGTCTTTTGTCTTGTCCTTATTCTATTGCATTGTGTCTCTGGTAAGCTCATCTCCAAGTCGTTGCTTTGAGCCTAGTGATGTTCAAATGGGCCTTCCATTGAGTAGTTCAGCTGGGGATTTGAGAACGGTTGAAATTGGCATTGCTCTGTACGACATCATTGCCAAGTAACAGTCAGTGCAAGTTTCCTGGGGTTTCAGAAGTATCTTTTTGCATATTCCAACCATCCTCTCTGCGAAACCATTTGAGTGATGATAATGTGGTGATGATGTTGCATGCTTGATATTGAAATTCTATGAAAAACTGGCAAATTCCTTACTTGTATATTGTGACCCATTGCCACTGTAGAACACTTCAGGAATGCCTTGCTCCTCAAACAGCAGTTTTATCTGTTTGATTACTGCAGCAGATGTGGTAGAATGTGGGCACCATATTAATAGGCTTTGGCTGACTGGTCAACCACTAGAAGGTATTCATTTCCTCCCATTGTGAAAAGATCTGTACTGACATCCTACCATTGCTAAGAAGGGCTTTTATGCTGGTGCAGGATTTCTGATCAAGTGCTTGGTTGGTATTTTTTGGCTGTCTTCACAAGCTCAAGGGCTATGGTGTCTTTGGCCAAACATTTGACTTGATCCAATCTTTCTTGATAAACTGAGTAATGACATTTGGGTTAAATGGCTTTTCTAGACCCTTTCACATTAAAGAAGGGGTCTCCCGGGCTTTCCATTGAATTCTTTTTCAAAGCCTCTCAATTACAGTATCCTTATTGTTAATTTCACTCATAGTTGTTTTTGTTGCCATAGCAAGATATAGCAACACAACTATGAAATTCAAACAAATTCAAATTCAGGGATCAGAGTCATCTTCAATGGCAGGATAAACTTTTTGAACAGCAAATGTGATCACAGTGTTCTTGATTTTGATTGGTTCTAGAAATGACTCATTTGACAATCCTTTTTAGTTTTTATTCAAAATACATTTAGGAATGATAACTTTTTTTGGCCTTTTTATTTATTTATTTTATCCTTTTGTTTTTATTTCTTTTTGCCAACTTGTAGCTTTCTATTTTTTTTTTTTAAATAGTGATCTTTTTATTTTTCTATCACTACAATTTTATTTTTATTTTTAAAAATTTATGTAATTTTAGGTGCGACTTTGAAATCCACCCCGTTGCTGTTCAAAAGAGGAGTTTTATTTTTATTAGTAAATTAAGACCTAAGAATCGAAAAATGTAATAATGTCATTTTCAAGTGTGAACCTTTTTAAAAATTAAAAGAATTTTTTTTCCCTTCATTTTCAGCAACTGTTTGATTATCTTTTGTATGGATATTCAAAAGGGAAACAATTCCTAATTACCGCCTTTGACTGCTTTTCCCTATCGGAAGAAGAGTAATTGAAACTCTTAAATTCAGAATTTCGCAAAATAAATAAATAGTTACCTAGTATAAAGAAGGTGATAAATCGTTACTGCTTTTTCCGGTAAAAACCAGCTCTTTTATGCATTCCATAAGCCTTTTGTTTTTGTACATGCCATCAGTATTTTTTAAAATATGAATTATTATGAAAAAGTTTTTAATGTAGTTTTAAAAACGTGGGTTCTGTGAATGTTTTCACATCTTAATAAAAACAAATTACTTTATTTAAAAATTGTAATACCACGATTAGGAAATAATTTTTGAGAGGTTAAAAAATGAAAAAGATTAAATTTAAATATTTCAATAAAGTAAGAAAATATTTTTCAATTCAAAAGTGTTATTAGTGTTCATGATGATGATAATGCTGATGATGAATAAAACATCAGAAAGGAAATTTAACTTACCATCATCTGCACACCATCGTCAGAAGGGCATGCATCATTCAAAATCGAGGAATATTTTTCCAAGCTGTGCAAAATTGTCCCCTGTCTCTCTGGTGGACATTTCCCCCATTCTTTAGTCACTTTGAAAAGTGGAAGGTAAATCTCTGAAAGTTTTACAGCAAAGTTCTTTAGACAATCTTGTTTGATCTCTCCGCACAAAACTTCAGTGTGTATACGATTCGGATCGATTTCTGTCTCAATATCAAGTCTCAGAAAATAAAGAATAGGTGTGAACCTTTCCAGATTTGGCACATCTGTTGTTAAAACAAGAGAGTTAGCCTGCGCAACTTCTTTTTCAAAAGTTTTGTAAAAAACAAAAAGTCTTTTTGAACCACCGCATCGCAAAAAATTATTAATTGGGTTTAAAAACTTTTCTTCTGTTATATATGACTCTAAAATATCTGGGCTGTATGTGTCATGAATTCTGAATGTTTGCTGAATATTGCTGGCTATCCACCAGTGTCTTTCATCCATTGTAATAACTTTTTTCTCAATTCATAAATTAAAAGAAAAGGTTAAAAACTTATGAAAAAAGTTTGACCTATTTTTCTATGTTGTGCTGAACGAAGCGTCATTGTTGTCATTAGCAACAGAAATGAATTGTTTAACAACTTATTTAAAGACTAGATGAAAACATAATTCATTAAAATTATTTTTATTAGGATAAATTATAACTACTAACAAAGGAATTCCATTCAAGTGCGAATTCATATTAATAATTAGAGCATTAGGTTCGTTTTATTCACTTCGGTAAAAAGGAAGTAATGAACTAACTTCCGGTTAGTTGGCCGGCTCACATGTTTATGTTTTTTATTCCTGTAAAATAATTTACTAACAATATGGAATCCATTGAAGAATTGATGAAACTTGACAAAATTGAATTGACAAAGCCTGTCAAAAAAGTTGAGGTACGTTCTTGAACAGAAAATAAAAAACTTTAAAATAATTTTGATTAGCAAGTAAATGTGAACCTATTCTGTGTAAGTAAGAAGTACTCAGTCATGTAATTAAACTATTTAGGTATAGTTGTTTTTATTTACTATTTCCATTTTTTTGTTCGTATAAATTTAATCCAATATTATTCTTTTAAGCAGAACAGAACTCCTTCGTAATTCTTTATAAAATATCATTTATACTTAAAATAATTCAGAATTTTGCTGCCTTAGGTACACGTGATGTTGATTTTTCCGAACGTGCTTTTATTGATTTGTAATAATGCAAGTAAGTTCTAAAGCCTCTATAAATATACGGCTACATCCGATCCCACTGACTCCCGAGGAAGGAATGTTGGATCATAAAAAGAAAAAAGCAAGAAAACTAAATCATGTAATAAAAATTGAAAAAAAAAATGTTTCTGAAGCCGAGAAAATATGATAAACATAACGAAACCCATCTTCAAAGTAACTTAATTAATTATTCTGAATACACTCAAAAGCAAAAATGTCCCTCCACCCTTTTTAAATTAAGTTTTAAGTTTTTAGACTGAAAAATTAACATGGGAAATTATTTTAAAAAATCAACAGCACATTTTGTTAAATTAAGTTTGTTTCAAAGCTACTATTGATTGACATTTTTAATTTTATGTTCAAAATATTGCTTGTTTAACGGAAGACAAATATTTTCTCTTTTGAAGCCCATGATTTATTTATTTTTATTATCTTTTCATCAATCATCACAAATCATTTTTACAATAATGACAGTAACGCTGAAGATTATTATTTCAAATATCTCATTCGGTTTTTAGACCTGCAGAATTTAAAAAAAAATCAACAAGGAGTGTTAGGACGAAGGAGATATGCCATATCCACATATTCCTTTTCTTTAAGTTTACTGTGAATTGCGATGACTATTTGGAAACTAGTGGTTCCCATTATTTACTTTCTACCCTGCTTATGTCAGAGGGTATCCCCCAGACGAGGCTCTGCCGAAGAGCAGTCTCGTCTCGGGAAACTGACTTCGTTTTTATGTGGTCTATCGAGAAATTTTGCCCGAACTTACGGGCTCGGGTACCCCACTTTAAACTCGGCCTTGTGCCACACCTTTCTGCGTGGAGTAGCGGGTAAATTATTTATTTACTTTCTACCCGGTCTTGAATTCGGAGTTGTCCTTTTCCTAGAGTGATTATGTATGACCCAAGTCATAATTGTGGGGGAAAAAATGTGAATTTGGCAGTGGCTCACCAATTCCACTTTCTGTACTGATAATGCTACCAATTTTAGCTTGTCCTTACCTTAAATAATGATAATATTTTTCTATTGTACAATAATTTTTTTTAACGCTATGTTTCAAACTTTAAATTGAATTTATTTTTAGAATTAGTCCTCTCATAAAAGTTACAATCAATATTATTGTTTCAATATTTAATCTCAGTTTCAAACCAAATTAAAAACGAGAGGGCTGGCAATAAAAAATCTTTTAATTTTTACATAAAAATAAATGTAATTGCTTAAGCAAAAAGAAAAAGACATTGTTACTCTTCTTAAAGATTAACTTTAAAACTAAAAGTTTTCTCTCTCTTATGAAATTTAAAAAATGAATTAATTGTTTTCTTTGTTATTATCACAACTTTTCAGGCAATCCATTCGGCAGCCTTCACTTATCTGAAATGATGACCCTTAATTATGCATAATATTCTTTTATGTTAATTTAATGCAATTTTAATTTTATTTTACAGGACAAATGGAAACTGTTGCCAGCTTTTCTGAAAGTAAAAGGATTAGTTAAGCAACATATTGATTCTTTCAACTATTTTATCAATGTCGAGGTATGTGTAGTTTATGCAGTATTTATAAGTGAACATTAAAAAATTTGGAAAAAAAATACTAAACTTTTGTGTATGTATGTATGTATGTATGTATGTGTATGTTTGCGCGCGCAGACACACACAGGCAGCAATGTAATTTCTTTATTAAACTTTTCTATTGCCCGTACAGATTTCCTTTATTTATTTACATATATATATATATATATATATATATATATAAAAACTTGAAGATTGCGTTTAAGCATTTTCGCTGCAGATTGTTGATCTCAATGTCTAAAACTAAAAGGGAAAGCGATGACATTTCTCATCATAGTAAAAGTAAATTGAAGGGAGATAACTTAAGATGTAGTTTAGTATCAGTGCTATTCAAATTTTATGAATTGCAATGTGAAATAATTTTTTTAAAAATAAATCTGAAGGAAATGTATTAAAATATTGCAGCATTATAAAAAAAATATATACAACTTAAATCACTTCTTTGCTTTGAATATAAGGTGTCAGAATATTGACAATTATTTTTGCTTCATAAAGTAGAAAACGTGAAAGGAAGAATTTAGTTCAAATTTTTTAAAATTTTACTTAGTTATTTTTATACAAAAAGGTAATTTTGTCTGAATTTTATGCTTTCAGGCACTTTTGATTGAACATTAAATTCCTAATAAAATGTCACATACACACTGGATATTGTTAATTTCTGCTTTCTCCCTAATGATAATAAAAAATTTATCTGAAAAGTTATTGAAGGTACAAACCTTTTAATTGCTCTCTTAAATGCATCTTTAAAAGCAACATATAAAAATTTTTTATATATTTCTCTACTCTTTAATAAAATGTTGTTACATCATATTTGTATAAAATTTTTGTGCAATCAAAAAATTTACTCTCCAAACTTTTACTATTGAATTACTTTTTCTTTTCTCAATTGGAGTAGATAGGTTCACACTCCTCCCAATTTTTTGAACAAGAGTAGAGGTTTATCCCTTGTTTCTTGTCTAGGATTGAATTTCCGTTTCCTTCTAAAGCCTTTTCATATGTAACCCTCTACCTCGAGTGGCTCTTGGGTCTTATAGAGAGTGAATATCATTGTAAAAATAAAAACAAACCTAACATTGCTTTTTACAGACATGATTTTAAAGAAAAGGATCCAGTATCTTTAATATATTTCTTTCCTTCAGTAGTTTTCAAAATAAAATCATTTGATTGCATATTTTTTATTGAAATAACATTTGTAAGGATTTTTTTGCACTAAATTGTTGTGTGTGTGTGTGTGTGTGTGTGTGTGTATATATATATATATATATATATATATATATATATATATATATATATATATAAAAATATTCTTTAAAATTTAAAATTAATCTCATAAAGCAATGTTTGTTTTTTTTTTTTTTTTTTTTTAAGTTACTGTATTTGATAACATACATAACCCTCATCCTCCCACTATCATTTACACCTATTATTACAGTGGAGATTCAAGTACTACTAAGCCATATTGTCTGGGTAAATGTTAACCTACCAGATACTTCAACTTTGGGGGATATTTTTTCTGCTATTATAAGTGGGTCTTATATGCCATCTGATATGGTATATAGTTCATTTTATAGCTATTTACTTCTACACAATCAATTACAATTAAAAAGGACTTATGGATCTTGTATGATCACTGGTTAAGCAACATTGAGCCTGGTCAGTGCCTAGATGGATGACCAGATGGGAATATCAGGTACTGTTTGCTTGGATGTGTGGGGTCGGGATTGGAAATTGGAGAGCCGTGTTCCAATTTCAGTTGGGTTTGTTATATTCACTTATGTGCAATTACCCTTGAGTAATAGATTAATTAGTGGAACTTTTATCAGTAAATAATTATATCACAAAAATTCTTACAATCTAAAAACTAATTCTGGTTTTAAATAACCTGCAAAAAGCTGATAAGCCGTAAAACACATTCAATAAATAACAATTAAAAAAGAACTCATAAAAATGGTTGCTCCTTTAAAATTTTATGAATTTTGTGCTGTATAATGTTATTTCTACTTTTTCATAGAGTATCTAAAAAAGTTAAGTCAATCATCTTGTAAAATATAAGTGTCTGTTATTCCTATACTTGTTCATTGACTCAGATTTACAGATCTTTTGAATTATGAAAAATATTGTAATACTAGCTTAAAAATCGCTCTATCAGGCAGCATTTAAGCAAGCTCCCATGCATTTGCATGGAACTTTCTTTTCCTTGCTGCAGCCTTGGCTCTTTTGATTACAATCTGGTCCTCTGTTGGAGATTTCTTTCTGCAAGACATACTGCTGCCAAATGTGATAGACAACAATAAACTGCAGAAGAACTCAAAATTGATCGCTGCATTTAAGTATTGCATTAATATCTAAGCTTACCTTTTAAAAGTTCAACGATAATTCTTCTGCCACCATTTAATTTAAAGAAAATTTGATGTGAGTAGGTCCTTACTTTGTGTACAAACAATTATTTTTATTTCATGGGTGACTTTTGCTGGATTTCAATTATTCTCTAATTTATTTCCAAATTATAAAAATTGTTATTATACAAAAAAATTTGTCGCAAAAAATTGTGTAAAAAAATCACTGAAAACAATCAAAGTAATGAAAACTTGGGAATCCAAAATTTCAGGATTGTGGGTCTGGATCTGGCCCGGAATGTTTCTAATTTGCTTCCTGAGTTGGCCTGATTCCAAAATGGTATATGTTGGGCTACAGTCTCTAGGAGTAAAATTGAAGTGTGACACACTGACATTTGCATTTATTTTTATAGATGAAAATGAAAACAAATCAGAATTGAATACATTAATACCAAATAAAGGTTGAGTATCTTTTATCAGAAATTCCAAAATCTGAAAACCTCCAAAATCCAAAAGTTTTTCAAGTGTGATCATGACTTGCTCAAATGGAAAATTTCAGAAAGCACTGCAAAAGTTCATAGGTGATATGCAGCTGTTGTAAGTGACCTCATCTACCCTGGATTGGGGGGTCCACAGCCCAACTACATAATCCATGTTGGCGGCTGTTTTGTGTTAGCAATCATCACAGCAATACCTTCATTTGTGTATTACGTACCAGGTGTTTTGTGCTCAGTAAAGATATTATTCAAAATGTCAAAAAGTCCTGCATTTATATATTTTTTTGTAAGTAGTGATCATGTTTATTTTATACATGTACAGAAAGTACAAGACATTATTTTTTACATGAAATCTTAATTTCACCTCTTAAAAATTTGTTTGAGCATTACATGACTATTACCTGTACATAAAAATGCATAAAATTTTATATAAAACTACTTTCAGGGTATATGTATAAGCTGTGTTATGAAATGTAAAGGGGTAGTGGGTTTACATTTGGGTTTTGTTCAATCAACGTAAACATTTTTTAGATACTATATCCAAATTAAATAGCCTGTATTCCAAAATCAAAAAAATCTGAAAACCAAATCACTTCTGGTCACAAGAATATTTAGATAAAGGACTATCTGTATAAAAAAAAAATATATATATATAAATATATATAAAAAAAATTCTTCATTTACATTTTTTTTCTTTACAGATTAAGAATATCATGAAGGCTAACGACAAAGTTGTTAGTGATGTTGACCTAACTTTTTACCTCAAGTAAGTCTGGCTTCTTTTTTTGGGGGGGGGTTATACTTTTTTTCTCTCTACCTTAAGTTCTCTATAATTCTCATTAAATAAATGTTATTATTTCTCATATATTGCATCTTCAGATCTTGCCTGTATTTATTTTTTTTCAGAATAATCTAATTTTCTAAAACCATTGGGCAATGCATCTGAGGGATGCTGAAAAGTTCTTAGCTCAACCTACTTCCCAAAATCAGTATTTCAATGACCAAATATTAGAATTATTGTTGGAATAAATAACAGAACCTGAGAAATATAATAAGTATAATTTTGAAGTGTGGAGTGAATATGTGGAATAGTATGGTGTTTCATAGCTGTCAGTCCTTCTTCTTGGATGGGCCAAGGACTTTTCAGCTCACCTTCATGGATTGTTATACAGTGCTGTTTGATAAAAGTGACTCACCTGATTTTTTTACTTAAAAATTTTTTCGCCTATTGTTTTTGGGGTCAAAGTAATTTTTAATCTTACTAATATAAAGACCCCTTCCTGACCACCTAGTAAAAAAGTTTACTCACCCTAAGGTATTCTATTGATAATTATAATTTTGGATATAAATGAGATTTAGGGAAAACTCTGTGCAAAAAAAGTGACTCACTTATTTCCTGCAATTAGTAATCAATAGAAACATAACCAAACAGCTTTAAATAAAGAATAATAGAGGTAAAATTTATTTATGATAGGTAATATAGTTCAAAATATTTAATAATCTATGGGTCCTCCTTTATTTTGAATAACCTTTTCAACCCTTTTTGACATTGACTTGATTAGGTTCTGGCAAAACTCATCTCCAAGCACTGAATTCCATTCAGATATGAAATTCACAATCAAATCCTCTTTGTTGCTCAACTGCTTTCTCGAGAACCTGTACTTTATAATGCTCCTTTTCTATGGGGTTTGAGGTCAGGAGATTGGGGCAGCCATGTCATAACACTCACCTACTTCTCATCAAAGTATTTCTTCATCAATTTTGATTTGTGACAGGGAGCATTATCCTGCATAAAAATGAGCTGGGGGGGGGCGATTTGCACCTTTTCAGCAGAAGGGAGCAGACAAGACTCTAAAATTCTCTTGTACTGCTTGCTCCTGAGGGTCTTTTCAATAGGTTTTAAGAAACCAGTTCCATGAAAAGAAAAGCATCCCCAGAACATTATACTGAACAGATGCTTGACAGTATTTACTACTAAATTCAAAGAGCTTTCAAAGCTTCTTCGGATTTTAGATTGCTTATCCTTTGAATTTAGCCCAACTTTTGTTTCATCGGAGAACATTCTTCCAGTCTTCTACAGTGAAATTTTTGTAATAGTGAGCCCATTCAAGTCTCTTGGCTTTGTTAGCTTTGCTTATTAGCGGCTTAAACCTTTGTGTACAAGATTTGTAGCCTTGTTCTAACAGCCACCGATAGACTTTTGAAGAGGCAAGACTAACACCTTGCTCTTCACTTAGACTGACTGCAATTTCTTGGCTAGTTATAGTCCTATTCTTAGGAACTTCTGCCTTGATTACCCTGCCAGTTCTATCATCAATCTTTTTCTTTCATCCCCTTGTTTCCTTCCTTGGAGCAGGAGTGGCATCATTATGTGCCCTAAGCACTCGAGAGACAGTTGATTGCGAGGTTACAGCAATTTCTGCAATTTTTCTCATAGACTTGCCTGCTTTTGAGAGGGCAATAATAGATGCCTTAAGTGGTTCTGAGTGGCTATTTCAAGCTGTTTTTATACTGTATGAGGTTTCTGGAATATTCTGGAATACTCTAGATTTAATTTAAGCTGTTTTAGAATTCTCTAGAATATTGTTCTGTGTGTATTGTAAAATAGTTATCAATATTTTGTCAAAAGCTCTTTAAATTTACCAGTTTAATAATTAGAATGCGATATCTGAGTCACTTTTTTTGCACAGAGTTTTTTCCTGAATCTAATTTATATCCAAATTTATAATTATCAATAGAATGCCTCAGAGTGAATAAACTTTTTTCTTAGGTGGTTGGGAAGGGGTCTTTTATATTAGTAAGATTAAAAATTATTTTAACCCCAAAAACAATAGACAAAAAATATTTTTAGTAAAAAAAATCAGGTGAGTCACTTTTATCAAACAGCACTGTATATAATATTTGGTTGAATTAATACCTGGCAAAGCAGTACAGTTGACATTGATGTGCTATCAGCTAGCTGGCATTTTTAATAACTTTATATCATCCTCCTACTTTTGTATCTGATTTTTATTTTGTTTACTTTTTTAATTAGATATTTGAATATATATGTTGGGATGCCTGATGTTGAAGAAGGATTCAATATAACTAAACCAGTTTCACCCCAGGAGGTAATTATATTTGGGAGTTACTGTCTTTGTTTATTTTCTCTCTCATTTTGCATATTTATTTTTATTTCTGTAACAGTTAATGTAAATCTGTGTCAAATATGTAGATTTTATATATTTAACATGAAACTGAATATTTGCTATAACAACATTTCGGAGGCTAAAATTACTCTGTAAAATATCTTAGGCTTAGCATGTGTAAAGAGAAATTAAAAATAATTTCTGTAATTCTAAGAAGAGTTGCAAGATTTGTTGACTAATTCTGTAGCCTTCTTCCGAGTAGCTATTATTATTAGTTTTTTTTTTTTTTTTTTTTTTTTTGGGGTGGGTACCAAGAAAATGAGCCCCCTCATTTTTTTTCCCCAAACATTGTTGTAAAAGCAAGAGCAGCAAAAAAAACAAAAACAAAGATGAACCTCATTTTTTTTCCTTTAATCTTTAAATGATGGACATCATGAATTGCTGTTTCACTGGAGGTTAGTGGATATCATCAACTGACAATTTAAGATTTTTCTAATGATATGACCATCATTCATTCAAGATTAGAGTCTAAATGACTAATTGGCAACTCTATGATTCATGAGGTTATGTCCCTTCCTGGCATATTTGTCTGCTTATAAAGTTGTAAGAACAAGCCAAAGATTACTATGTTTGCATACATACTTCTTGAATTAAAAAAGAGGTGAAAAATGGTGACAATTTGATGCAAGAATCCACAACTCCATTGTGCATGGAATGTTTCAAGGAATATCCATACTGTTAAAAAATATTAAATTTTGGAACATGATGTTTTATTTTCATTATTTTTATAATCTGAAACAAGTAAAATATTATTTTTTATATAATTAAAATAAAAATAGGCATAAAAAATTATCCTTTAAAAAAATGAATTTTCTTGGTTCTTACCCATTTGACATGCACATTTGTGCAAACTATTTCCACCATTTAAATGTTAATAACCATGTAACTTCATGATGTGGATAATAATGGCCCTCCACAAATATTTTTTTATTATTTGTGAATTACCATGGATTCTTGGGAATGGTAGGGATTGATTTCTCATTACCTTCTACATGGTTTTGACTTCAGTTTAGTCCTTTGCTTTGACTGGCTGCCATCCAACACTAGAGTCCATTCTACCCTGCTATTTAATTTCATATTTTTATTTCTTCTTTTTTTTTTTTTAATAGAAGTTATTGTTATTTTTTTTCCAGTGTCGACTCAGAGACATGACTTACTCTGCCCCTATAACTGTGGATATAGAATACACAAGAGGACAGCAAAGAATTATTAGAAATAATCTTCCCATAGGGAGGTAAGCTGAATTAAGTTTAGGCCATTTTCAATTTTGGTGAAAGAGGAAATATTTTTACAAGTTTTTCTTTTTTTTTCATTTCTCTAGATGCACAAAGATGGTTTCATTTATTTAACATTTTACTTTCAAGAACTCTTTTTTTTCTTTTTTTTTTTTAAACAGCATTAAGAACTTATGTAATTATCTCCAAAAATTGATTCCATTACCATTTCTGTTTTTGACTAAAGTGTTTGATGTTAACTAAAATCTAAGAGATTTTAGTTGCTAATCTAGTTAGAAGAGGAGGTTTGATTACAAACCAGTCAAATACATGTAAAATTTATGATATTTGATCAGCCAAAACATTTGTTCACTTCATTAAGCAGAATATTAACTTATAAACTTAAACTTTTTGGCCTACACAATACTTTAGTAAATAAGTTTATTAGTTATCTAACTTTTTAATTTTTTTTCTTAAATTTTCAAAATGTATGTTCTTTATTTTTTCCCAGGATGCCAATTATGTTGAGAAGTTCCAATTGTGTGCTGACAGGGAAAAGTCCCTCAGAATTGGCTAAATTGAAGGAATGTCCAATGGACCCTGGTGGGTATTTCATTGTGAAAGGAACAGAAAAAGTTATTCTGATTCAAGAACAATTGTCCAAGAACAGGATGATTGTTGATATTGACAAGAAAGGATGCATTGAATGTTCTGTGACCAGGTATATGAACTATTGTCTTTTTTCTTTTTGTTTTTTTTTTTAAACAAAAAGCACTTCTTTTTCTAAATCAGCATTTCTCTTTACGAAGCACTCTTAGTGAATACAAAAGTGCTTGGTATTTTCTTCATTGAGAATATATGCAATAATTTATACAGTAAGAATATAGAATGATTTAACTGTATGTGTATATTTATATTTTGGTTGTATTTTGTTTCTCCATTGAGATTATTAATTTTTGACTAGTTTCTCTTTCATATTAAAAGGAACAGAAATAAAATAGAAATAACAGTCAAAAATACCTCATTTAAGAAAGTTAAATGACTTATGCCAATTATGTTTACTACTAGTGGTTGCAAATAAAGCAATATTTCATAGAATGAAATTAGATAAGCAAGAATGTAGTTATGACTACATTGGAATTTCACTGATGATTTTCAGTGGCCAAATCAGTAAGGCATCAGCCATATTAGACAAGCATTCAAGGATACAAGATGCAAGTTCAAATCTTGTTGAATGCTAGTAATTTATTGTTTGATTTATGTTGCTTATTTTGCTGTGAGATTTTATGCTTGGATAAAAATAATTCACCATTATGTTGCAAATATCCCCTCTTTGGTTGTGATTTATATAGACATTTCATATTAAATACTCATGGGCTCCTGAAACATTTATCCTGCAAATATTGTGGACTCATGAGTCCAGATAAAAATAAGAATATAAAACAAAAAACAATGCATGTTATTAACAAAAAGAATTACATGTGTATACAATTAGAATAAAAAGAAATTGAAACAAGCTATGAGAATGTGCTTGTCTGTGATACATGTGTGGACCATGAAAATGAACATGCTCCAGTAGGGAACACTTTACCCATGTGTGACTACATCTGAAAGCAGGAGTTAAAAAGATATTGAATATGATAGTCTTTTTATAGGCTTAAAGAGTGATCTCTAACAGGCATTTTAGCAGAGCCAAGTAGGGTAACCCACAACTCAATGTGCATATAATGTAAAAAGATCTGAATATTGTGCAAAAAATGAAAGGAAAACTAGTTGAAAATTAATGACATTGTTTCATCAGTTCAAATATTGGATTGATTTACAAATATTTGCAAATTTGGGACTTCTGAAAAGAAATATTAAAAAAGTGGGAAAATATTTTGTCTTTGAAACAAATTCTTAATTTATTTGTTAAAATTTTTTCTGATTGCACTGACAGTTGGTTGGAGTTTTGATGTTGTAACATTGTCTCTGTCTATGAAACCTTAATAAGGGTTACATCCATCCCAAACTTGACCTTTAAACTTTGCCAGCTCTATTTTGAACTTACTGTGTATATATTTTTGGTAAAATTTGGTTTCGTTTATTATGTATATTATTTCTTAACCATTTTATTTTTCATCTGTTATATATTTTATTATGTATATTTGTTCTTATACAGCTAGTTACTAACTGCTGTAGAATGGTGATGTAACTAGTTATGATTACTAATGACTGATAGTACTTTGTCTAATAGTAATAACATTTAAGACAATATTGTAACTGTAAAGTTGATTTATTATTTGCATTTTAGTTATTTAAATACAAGACTTTTTTTTTTCAAACTGATCTTTTTTTTTTTTTTTTTTTTTTTTTTACAGTTCCACCCATGAAAGGAAAAGTAAGACTTATGTGGTTACTAAACATGGACGATATTACTTAAAACACAACATTTTTACAGAAGTAAGATAATTTTAGTGTAATCTCTAAGTAATTTGTTTTGATTTTTCTGTTGTTCCTTTGAGACAATTCTTTGGAGATAAAAGTTTTAATGTTAACATTGTTTTATACTTGGTTTTTATTTCATTCTTTGTTGAATATTTATAAAATTTGAATTATTTGCTATAAATCCAGAAATCAAACCAAAATTACAGCTCTCAAGAAAAATTTTACATATTTTTAAATATTTTTAAAAAGAAATATAGCCAACAACAATTAGAGTTATGGTGATTGTAACAAAAAAATTGGAGTACCAGTTGTACCCTTTTTTCTTTTCAACCACAATTTGTGAGAATACTGCAAAACTCCACACACAAAGCATAACCACTCGGCTTGTCGGCCTCTGCTGCCTGTCTAATGTTCTCTTACCCATCCTCATTTTATCAAGTAGCTGAGGCTCCCAAATTTGCAAAAGCCACAAATTCATCTCACAAAATCTCTGAACTCAAAGATAAAGTTGTTCTTAAATTGCAATTTTTCGATGGTCATATTTTCTTTCATGTATTCTGCATGCAAGACACACACAAGCACATTTTGTTCCAGGAGGTAAGCTATTTATTAAATAGAAACATGTATTTAAAGTAAGTTTTTTTTATTTTATTTCACTTTTTCTTTTTCTTTTCTTTTTTTTCATTTTTTTTTTTTTTCTGTATTTTTCTTTGGCTTGTTTATAAAAGAATTTATCTTTTGAACAAATGTTTTAAAACAGTTTTAGTTAAATGAAGTAAATTGTATTTTGATATACTGTTTGCTATTTGTTTCCTCCTAATGTTGGTTTATAAAAATTTTTTTTTAATAATAAAATGAAATCTTTTTTTTTTTTCTCAGGACATTCCAGTTGCAATTGCTTTTAAAGGAATGGGTATAGAATGTGACCAAGAAATCATTCAAATGATTGGCTGTGAGGAAGAAGTGTTGGCTGCCATTGCACCTTGCATGGAAGAATGTCACAAGGCCCAGGTGTACACTTGTAATCAAGTAAGATCAATATTTTCAGCTATTATTGGTTTTAGATGCACTCAATTGTAGTTGCTAAGCAATTATATAATAAATTTTCAGGACATTTTTTTTTTTCAATTTTTTGTTTCTATATTTATGTATTAGAAAAAAATGTCCTATGCTTATTTGAAATCAAATTTTTCTTTTTCTGTGTTTATTTGTCATTTTGGCAATGATGGTCTTCCACAAATTCCTATTCTTTGTAGCTTTCAGTAACACTTGTCTTTTTACCATAATTCTACCATCCATTCACACAAGCTAGTCAGCTAGGTGGCCTACTGCCTCCTCTATCCATTTTTACCTTCAATATTTCCTGTGAGTGTTAAATTTTCCAAGTCCTCTTTCCTCATTATATGTCTAAGAAATTTTGTCTCTCTTTCTGATTTTAAGTATCCTTTTTTTTTTTTTTTTTTTTTTTTTTTTAAGATTCCTTATTGCTTACATGCTCTGTCCATGGTATTCTCAGCATCCTTTCTGTAGAATCACATTTCTGTAACTTAGTCTTTTCCATTATGAGGAAATTCTTGAGTATTTGGTATTACATAGTAATTCAGAAACCTTTTCTTTGTTTTTTCTTGTTTCTTAATACTTTTCTTAGCTTTTGGAATGCATCTTTTGCTATTCCAATGTGCATTCAAATTTCAGTGTTAGATTTTTCATCCTCTGTTAAAACACTTCCCAGATAATTTCTGTACTTGTTTGATTTTGGCATCTCCAATTCGTAGTTTACATCTTGGACTCTTTCTCTTGTTGACAACCATACATTCTGTTTTTGTACAATTAATGGTTAGTCCTTTCTTCTCACTTGTCTAGGAATGGTTGTAGTTTTCTTTCTGTGTTTGCCACCAACACTGTGCCATCTGCATGTCTTATCTTTTTTTGTGCCCAGCAATGATAAATCCTGGTAGGGTCACCAGTTCCTTTAGGATAGACTCACTGTAGAGAATCTGATAAGAAGGCACATCCTTGCTTTACACCCATATCTATTTTTGTGTACCTACATGTGTTCATTTTTAAAAAATTTTTTTTTATCCATATGCAGACAGTTTGCCTGCAGTGTAAGTTCTGGATTATTCTGATATCTTCCCAAATAGATCTAGTTTTCCAATAAATTCAAATAGATCTTTGTGGCATACCTTATCAAATGCTTTTAAAGTGTAATGTATAAAACATAGATGTATATTCTTCTGCATTTGTATTACTCTTTCTGATATCATTCTGATCATTAAGCTAATTGTCCAATGGAGCTTGCATTCATTTGCACCTGGTTTCTTAGGTAGTTTTATGAAGCTGGATTTACTAAGGTCTTCCGGTATGTAGCCATTACTGTATATTTAATTTATTATTTCTGTATTCTTGTCAATGCTGAAATTGTCTAAGGCTGCTAACATTTCTATTACAATTCTATCTGACATACTACTTTGCTCATGTTCATTTTGGTCAGTATTGAGCTTACTTCATACTTTAATATTTCTGGTCCTTCTATATTTTTGTCTATTGCAGATTTCTCTGTCTCATTGTGAAATACTTCACCAACATATTTCCTCCATCTTTGGAGTATTTTTTTCTATTATAAGTATTCCCTCCTTTGATTTTATGCAACCTGTTGATGAGCACTTCTTTTGTTCTGTACTTTTATTATTTTGTGCATATTTGCCTTATCTATGAGCACTTTTCATTGAGCCATTCCTCTTTAGCCTGCCTACATTTGTTTCTAATTTCCGTTTTTAGTGTTCTGTACTCTGTACCTTTCTTTGGCATTGTTTGCCGTTTCTTTTTCATCATCTTCAGAATTTCATGTCTTCCACTTTTTTTTTTTTTTTTTTTTCTCTAGTCTCATTTTTCTTGGGATGGTCTTATTCACCAATGTCACTAGTGCTTCTCTCAACATGTTCCTTTTTGAATTTATAGTCTTCTTCAAGTTATATATTTTTTAATTCTGTTTATATACATCTTGTAACTTTGATCATTTAGGAGTCTGTCATATTGCAGTTTAGGCATTGTTTTTTTTTTCTCTAATTTCTTTTTTTACTCTGATTAGAAGGTGGTTGCTCTCATAACCAGCACTTGGATAGGTTTTACAGTGCAAAGCTTCATTTCTAAACTTTTTGTTAATACTTATGTAATCAATCTGGTTTTGCTTTTGTGTTTCCTCTAAAACCAAGTTGGAGAAAACAACTTGAATTACTAGTTTTATTTAATAGTATTCTTGCAAGGATTTGCTTGCAATTAAAAGCAGAGTGATATGTTTATAATTTGAGCAGTTCAGCTCTTTTGTTTTTTTGTAAAGGATTATGATATCTGTCTTTGAAGAAATAGTTTATTCTGATTCTAGTAACAGACAAAGAATTTATGGAGCCTTTCATGTAAGGGAGGGCTGCCATGTTTCTCAATCTCTGTATATATGCTGTCAACAGCTGAGGAAAAAATCTCTACTGCATTGTCGACTTTCCTTTTATTTGTATATAGGTAATAATTTCAGTGACTAATAAATCACTTATTTCCTTTCAGGCTCTTAGATATATAGGCAGCAAAGTAAGAGTACGGAGAATGTGGAATGAACCTAAAAAAGGCAAAGTTGAAGAAGCAAGGGATATTTTACATGGTGTGATTCTGGCTCATGTTCCGGTAAGACTAAATATTGTACTTTCTTGAAAAGAACAGATAAATTGTCAGCTTTTATTATAATAAAAAATTAAAACCTATTCAAAAGCTGGACTCTATTCTCTTTATTTTATTCCTACAGGTGGTTCAGTGGAACTTTAAAGTGAAGGCAGCCTACCTTGCTCTCATGGTACGTCGTGTCATCATGACCCAGGGAGACAGTATCAAAATGGATGACAGAGATTATTATGGAAACAAAAGGCTTGAAATGGCAGGACAGTTGCTGTCATTGCTTTTTGAGGATCTGTTTAAGAAATTCAACAGTGATGTAAGTTTTTAAGATTTTTATGAAAGGATTTTGGTTTACTGTTTTTGCATTTAGTTTCTAAAAAATCTGTTGTATTGGTATGTCTGTTTGAATGACATATTTCAAATTATTATTCATAAGTTCCATATCAAATTGCATTAAAATCAGATAAACTGTGTTATTGCTTTTGATCACCAATGTATGATCGGAATGTAGAAAAGAAGTGTATTGTTATCGATAGTAGAAGTTAAACAGTAAAAAAAAAATAGTGTTGATTCCAGAAAGCTTTGTTTCTCATTCATTGGATATGCAGTTGCTCATTTTATTGTAATGTTTATTATAAATTAGTAGATAATTTTATTAACCTATAGTTTTTATTCAATTAACATTCTCTTATAAATATCAGTACCCTTGATTTTATACATAAGTTCAATTGAACTTGATATTCTTTTTATTAACAATCTACTTAATTTCTGAATTTTTTTTTTAGTTTGCTAAATGTAGGTTGTATCATGATTACATTTTCTAATGGAGGAACTTCATTCATAATTTTGGGGTTAATATCTGTAGTGTATATTATCAATAGAATTTTCGGCTTAACAGATTCTTTTTAATTAATATTTCGTAAATATTTATGAAGCACACATTAGTCTGACACAAGGCCATTGTTATAGGGTACTCAGAAGATTGAACACATTAGCAATGATTTACTAGATTAGCATACTAACCATTTCTCTCAAGAATATTTTGTATCGTTTTGAATTTTATGAAATTGTCATTTATTTAATGTCTCATTAAATAAATCATAATGTGTAGATCTGGTAGATGTGTTCCTGGTAATTACTTTAAAAGGTAGATCATTTGAGATCTTGATCTAATGTGACTTTGTATCTTAATTTGACTGAATGAAAACTTTTTCCTTGAAGATTTGATTTGGAAACAGAAGAGGGAATATGCATTTAAAATATATAGTTATATTTTGTATGCTGGGATATGTTTGCATTTATTTAATCATCTAGAAATTTATTTTACAATGTAATGCACTTGAGTATAAAATACTGGAGAAACATTTCAAAATAAAATGATGCCTGAATTGTACAGTATGACATCTAACTTGGTTTTTCCTTTCAACTGGGGATTGTTTATTGAGGTATTTCTGATTAAATATTCTATATTTTTTTATAAAACAACCATATGTGCAAACAAAATATTTTATAGTAGACATCATTATCAATACATCTAATTACTTCTATATTATTTCTATGTTTATAATCTTTTAATATCTATTACTATAAATTTTTATTTGACTCTGGGGCTTGAAAATTAATCTATCAGAGTAACTTGCCTGATGAACTTGGAATAGGTAGCACTGACCATCAGGGTCACTAGAGGTCATGACAGGTTAATTTACAGTCATAACTACTCACAGCTGTTTGAGGTTTCCTACAGACCCACTGAACTTAAATAAAGTCAATTCAGGTTTCCTATGGTAAAAATTTTCTTTCCCAAGTGAAAATCATCACAAAAATAGCAAAAGTCATTTTGTCACAGCTTATTTTCTCTCAAAATATGGATTTTTATACTTTTTTAGGGGTAAAATATTGAAAAATGACTGTTTTATCATCACCTAAACTAATATCAAGGAAACTTTTGATCTGAACCCCATGAAACTAGGTATTTTCTGAAAGCAAAAGATATATTCTTTCATTTAAAAGTAAAATTAGCTGGTGTAAATGACTCAAAATTTTTTTCAGTGGGTAAAATGTGAAAAAATAGTGAAAATTTTGCATTTTTTTCTTGTTCTAAACAAATATTTCCCCCATTAATGGGAAATTAACCATTTTTTTTTTTTTTTGAAATCAGAAAGCCTAAATCATAATCAAACTATTTCAGGCATAAAATTGAGAGTTTTGAAGGAAATCAACATTCCTAGGGGTTCAAAATGCGACAAAATCCATTGTTAATTTTCAATTATATGACTGCCAGAGTTTAAAAAAATTGAAACCTGGCCACGGAAATCTTTAGTAAAAGGCAAGAGATTTATCTGCAATTCCTAACCACCAGAAACCAAAAGTTTTTTTTTTCTCTAAAAATAGCGATAAGGGAAAATAAACCTAATTGACTTTGACGTTTAGGTCAAAGGTCAGCCAGCCAGCCAGCAATAAACGGACGGCAAACCTTAGAACAAGTTGTAATAAAACCCACCACTCCCAGATAAAAGCAAAGAGTGAAAAAAAAAGAAAAAAAAAGGGTTCACAATTACTAGGGCTTCATATAACCTATGTTTGAACAATGGCTTGATGAGTTTTGTTTTGTTTTTTAACACCCCGTGACCCGGTGATGACAACAACACTTAGCAGCCGACATTGTTTTTTCGCCGCATATCTTTCGTATTTCCATCGCCGGTCCATTTAGCCTTTCTTTTATTCAATGATGTTCATGCCAAATGAAAGAGAAAGGAATGAATTTTGAATGATGTTATTTTGAAGCGAAATAAATATTTTTTCATAAAAAAAAAGGGATTTTTCTCGGAAAATTGGGCATAATTTCTTAATGCTAACCGCCGAGTGACATTTTCCACAGCCAAATCAAGATTAATTACCAGTGAATAATTCCATGTGCAAAAATAGCCGTCTGGATCCTATAAGGTCGCCCTAAAAGGTCCAGAAGTTTACTAATTGATCGAAAACCTGTTGCGCATAATTGTATTTTTCACGGTCAGTTTGCATTATTTCATCTTGATATTACCATTTTTGGACAGCCAAGTCATCAAGGATTCAGGATAACAGTTTGGCATAGGTTTTCTTTAAGAACTTTACATTCTATGAGGTGTTTAAAATGTTACTGACGAATGAGATTTTTTGCTGAATATTTCGTTTACGCGCCATGTTGGATTTTCCTATATGACAAAAACAAGGGTTTTAAACAGCTGTGTACTATTTCTGGCTAAACTGTAAAAAGGCACACTTCATATACACTCATATATACTAAAAATGGCCTAATTGTAGACATTTATGTAAACATGTATTACTAAAAGAAAAACCAGCAGAAATCTTGGTCAGTGGTTAACAATATGGTAAATGGAATTGGCTTGCTGAATACTTTGAAATAATCTGTGTTCATGTCACACTAATGCCTTTGGAAAAGGCAAGACTAGAAATAAATTATGCAATTGAAAATTAGTTCTTAATTAAAAAGATTTTGCATGCAGTTATTTTTTTTATTAATCACTTCATTCCAAGCAAGACAATAACAGCCACTAAGAAGTAAGGGGGGGTCACTGAGAGTGAGACAAAAAGTACAATAAAAGAACAAGATTCAAGAAGACAGAAGATGATGATTAACATTGCATTTATATCTTTTAAAATTTTAGTTGACAGAAAAACAAGAAGCTGAAAGAGATTTCCACAAGTTAGAAGTTTGGGAGAAGAAACTATTAGCATAGAACTTATGGTTACAACTAGGAGGTTCAAACAGTGAAATTATGAGACCTAGCTGCCATTCTAGTACTGGACTTAAATTCATGAAGTTTAGGTACCAATGAGAAAAGCTCATTAGAATAATTACCATGAAAATATTTATAGAAAAGGCACAGGGAGCTACATTAAGGTGGTGGGAAAGTAACTGAAACTGAGATGCCAGGTCAGTGCCGATAACATTGCAGATTCTTCTTTGGATTCTCTCAAATTTGACATGAAAAATTGTTTCATGTAAATTAGTGCAGTATTTTGAAAAAAAAGATATTTTAGAAAATCTTCTTAAAAACTTTAAATTTTAGAATTTCATTTTAAGGTCTGTATTTGCTTATTTATGTCTGTTTTTGCAATTTTTTTATAAAGTTGAAATAATTCTGAAAGAACCAACATTGCTGAATGAAGTGAAAATTTTCAACATTATTTTACAAAATTGATACAAAATATAAAAGTGAACTCATTTGATTCTATTAAGTTATGTATTTATGAAATCAGGCAAGGTTCATGTTTTTATAGATGTTGGATAAACATCTATCATTATGTCTCGTTCTGTTTTTTTCGTTTTAGCTAAAGAGGATTGCTGACATGACAATACCAAAACAAAGAGTTGCTCAATTTGACATTGTAAAACACATGCGACAGGACCAAATAACCAATGGATTGGTGAATGCAATTTCCACAGTAAGTTACTTTTTACTCAATATGTTTGATATCAGTGAATGAAATACCTCTTGTCTTTGTGATACAAAATAAATGAATCTAGTCAAATTATATTCAGTATGCATTGTTCAGTTTAGATTAAAGTGTTTAAAAAAGGTTTTAATATAAAAAAAAAAAAAAAAAAATGGAAATATCTATTAAAAAATTTTAAAATTGATATCAAATAAAATAATTAAATTATAGAAATAAAAAGAAAAAGAATGTGTTGGGTTACCTCCTCCTAATTTTCAAAACCGCTACAAGGGGATGCTCTCTGGACTATAAATACTCAGTAATATTTTTTTCTCACTCTCTTCTTACTTTTTTCGCTTGTACATGTAACCGCTCATGGAGAACGCATTCCCTTTGAGAAATGCATGAACAATAAATACATACATACATTATTGTTAATACATTATCATTTGGTGACTCCTGACATGATAATTATTTTTCTCCTTATAGCAAGAAACACGCAAGACTATATATCTGTACAGACTCAAATATACATTTATACACCTTTTTCCAAACTGAGAGCCAAGGAAGAAAAACATTGACAAACTTCTCTTCCTACCCTATCATGCACAATGGACATTATAAACTTGTAGCAAAAAGCATTTACACAGCTACAAATTTTATGATTAGACCCTATGAAAGTGCAAAATCATAAATTTCAAATACTACAACATATCTATACAACACATGATGTTCTCTGACAAATAGTTTTGCTTCTTTTTTTCAACACGTGGGACCCCCCCATCAAAAAATTGCTAATTTCAATTACTGCTACTTTGGTCCATTCAGTAGGCAAACAATACACACCTCTTCCCTACTGTCTTTTTGCTTGACCCTTTTCTTCTCTCAGGGACCATTACACTCGACTTCAACTGGCAGACATCTTTAGAAAAAATTTTTTCCCTGACAAGACAAAAATATGACTTCATTTCAACTTTAATCAACACTTTTTCTTCTGGGCTAATCAGATAAAGCGTGACATACCTCAAAAGGTGACTCACTATCCTTTTTTTTTTTTTTTTTTCTTCACTCTTTGATGATGCCACTCGAACAACACTAAGAATTTGCAAGTATGATATGCATTTGACAATAATAGCAAATTTTCTTAAAGTTCTCAAACATGCATTTGATACTCGGTAGAAATTCTACATCAGTTCAACTTTGCCACAACACTGCTTCTATTAAATTTTGTGTACCAAATTTATCTGCGCATTGGAAAAAAAACAAATTTTAATAGCAAACGCTGAACAATTTACACTACTTACCCATTTCTCAGAGTGAGCTACATTCAACTAGAAAATAAGACAGCACCCTGATGACAGCACAAGTACATTTTGTCAACACGTGTTTTATCACGCATCTCAACCACATTTCCGACACCTTTTCTTTTCAGCTCACGAGGACAGAAACAACTAAATGAATTTTACATATAGGCAGAAAAAATTCTACCCTCCTGGAGGGAAATATTGTCGGGTTACCTCCTCCTGATTTTCAAAACCGCTACTAGGGGACGCTCAGTGATATTTTTTCTCTTTCTTTCTTCTTACCTTTCCGCTTATTCAGTAACATGTAACCTCTCGTAGAGAACGCATTCCCTTTGGGAAACGCATGAATAATATATACATACATACATACATACATATGCACACACAACACGCATACATATGCACATTCATCTATTTCACTTACTTTGAACCCAAATGGTTTTCATATTCATTTGACACACATCTTTTGTCTTTGTATACCTTTGTTATTAATACATTATCATTTGTTTGTCCATATATATTGGTTCTTTTCATTTTTTTATGTGAACTCACCTCCAGAGTCTGCCATGTTGTGGGCATTTCAGGAGACACATGTGTTTATCTCTCAACACATACACTCTCCCACAATAAATGTACAATGTAAAAATGTTAATTTTTGTAATTTAGAAAAATTGTGTCCCCCTATAAATTTTTAATGCAGATTCTATTTTTACTATTTGATTTTATTTAGGAATTTAAATAATTTAGAAATATTAAAATGTTTTCCTTGGTCGAATTTAAACCAAAGATGCTGATTATTTTTACAGGGTAATTGGTCTATTAAGAGATTCAAGATGGATCGAGGTGGAATGACTCAGGTACTCTGTCGATTATCTTACATATCAGCTCTTGGTCACATGACACGTATTACAAGCCAGGTAAGTTTATTAATTTTTTTTTTTTTTTTAAACTTCCATTACTCTAATTAAAACCTCTATAATATCATTTGCTTATGAGAATGGAGTATTAATGTTAATTCTAATTCAAGCATCTTCAATATACAATTAACTATAACAGAGTAACATGATTTATTTATTACTTATGGCATCTTTTGAAATATTTTCACGTGATTATGTAAGTCCTATGATTATGGCACTCTTACATAATCACTAATATATAATAATATGAATAAGTTGTATTATGCTAATGCTATATCTGACTGTATATTGAAGATAATCTCAAATCACTGAATATTAATTGTGTCTCTGGAAAAATATTTGACTTAATCCACTTCTTAACAAATTGTGTAATGAAAGTCTGAACTTCTAAATCCTTTCACATTTAATGTGGAGGGGTGCCCTCAGGCCTCTATCCTTGAACCTATGTTGTTCCTTATCTTTGATTAATGAACTTCTCAGTGTCATCAGTTCCAGACTAGGTATCTATGCTGATGACACAACTATAACTTAATAGTAAGTCCAATAGGTCCAACAAAGTAAAGCTGGCAACTATTTTCAAAAATGACCTCCAATTAGTTGTTAACAGGGGCAAGAAATGGCTTGTAAATTTTAATGCCTCCAAAATGAAACTGCTATCTTTTAATCATCATAGAAAATAGAAAAAACATTTTTGATCTTCCATTAGTATGACTGATGCTGGCATGAAGTGGAGTGATTCTATTAAATCAATTTCTAAGACAATTTTTCCTCTCTAAAATCTGTCTTGCACATTCATAAATCTGTTATTTATCTGTGCATTGAATATTGCTGCCATATCTGGTCTGGTGTTTCAGCTTTATATCTTGAGATTCTCAACAAAATTCAAAGAAAGGTCTGTAAAGTAATCATTAATGAATTGACATCTCAACTTCAGTTACTTTCCCACCACCTTGACATGGTTTCCCCTGTGTCTTTTCTATAAATATTTTCATAGCAATTGTTCTCATGGACTCTGCTCCTTGGTACCTCAACCATATGAATTTAAGTGTACTACTAGATTGGTGACTAGATCTGTGTTTTACTATTGAAATAGCTTTGATGTAACTGTAAGTTCTATACTAATTTCTTGTCTTGCACTTTTCTCTTCTGGTCAACTTGCTTCCCTGCCATCTATGATCTTCAAAAAATTAAATGCAACATCAATCACTATCTTCTGCCTTCCAGAAATTTGTTCTTTTATTGTCCTTTCTCTTCACTAAAGTTTTCTCATTGTCATTCACTTCCAGTAATCCTTTGTGTCTTAATAATATTATTGCCTTGTTTGGGGTGAAATGATTAAAAAAAATATTGTTATTCTGCATTAAGACATTCAAATGCTGCTGAACAAAACCAGATGGATGGATTATATACTGGATCAGATTATCTCTTAATACACTGCTAGTGTTCCAGAAGTAAATGTTTAGAGTGAAGTAATCAGTTATCAGCACTTGATCCACAGATTTTCAACAACAATAATAATAATAATGAAAAATATTACACTCTGCACTAATGTTTAGTGGCATATCAACTCCTTATGGGTCATTTAGTGCCAAAATTTGATTTTCTTAGGAGCATTTTTAATATCTTTTACAAAAATGTATTGCTGGTAATTTTTATTTTTTATTTTTTTACTATAAAATCTTTTATACTTTCATAGTATTTTCATCCCAGTTTGGGGGTTAACTATTTGTCTATATCTGGGACCCTAACAGGTGCTACCAACCCGGGTCAGGATGGACCTCAGAACAACAAGAGGCGGTTCGACACTCCTCAAAACCTCTTGATCACAGGCTTTCCTGCCAGATGTAGTTTATCATCATACCCAGGACAGCTGCACAAATTCATTATAACTCATACAAAAGATTGTCTAATGATAGGAAAACACTATTATTTTACTCATTTATTGAAAAGTACATAATGAAATAATTAAACTAACTTTCCATGGATATGTTTTTTTTTTTATGTAATAAGGATCTATTTGTGAAATATTAGTTATAGTTATTTTTCTCTAATTGGGACTTACAACACATTCTGTTGGCACATATCAGGCTTTATATATATATATATATATATATATATATATATATATATACACACACACACACACACACTGTATATTTCCATGTAAAAACAATCTATAAATCACAAAAATCAGCCTTAAAAAAATGGGGGTCATATAATACAATTCTAAAAAAGAAACCTTAAATTCAGAGTGATGTTGGTCGGTCAGATAACCTGCGCAATAACCAATAACGTACATGAAAATAAACTGATAATGTAATAAAACCATTTCTACCTTTTATATATTACTAGCATAACTTCATAAGTTGCCTATTCGAATAATTCCATATCAATGAAATTGACTTGTAATCATGCAAGCGCCACTGAGAAAATGTAAACATCAAGTTATGATTGCGTTCACAGCAATGGAATGTACTATTTTCATACTGTTATAAGCAGTATTTTGTGATTATCTATGAAGTATAAGTAAATGGCCATTAGTACACCAGGCTGTTTGTAACTGTTTATATGTAGGAGGAAGAGAAGAAGAATCAGTATTCACAAGACATTATGTGATGAAATGTAAACAAAACAATAGTTTCCCTTTTAGGAGATGTGTGTAGGAAAAACATGATATAGAATTGGTTTTGTTATTTTGCATTTCTAAGGATACAGTAAGTAACAATATTTTCAATAACATCATCTTTATATAAACAATAAGTAGTCATCTTATAGTACAGGCATAGGATAAATTTATGAAAATTTGCTATATTTCTTTACCTCATCTAAAAGTTGCCTTAAACACGAAAATATACAGTGTGTGTGTGTGTGTGTGTATATATATATATATATATATATATATATATATATATAATAATAATAATAATAAACCCACTACATATATTGGTTTTACTACAACCATGCTCTCCCATAGACGTACCTGTCACCTTTCTGATCTTAGTTCTATTAAACAACATTTCTTAGAAAAAATATAGCCATGTACATAATATTAGACAAATATTAGATGATAACAATACTCACACATACCCACAATAAAAAGAACCTTCAGATATTGGAGGCCATGTACATTAAAACAAAGCAACCCACACTCAACAAAATTACATTTCAAACTAGTCACAACACATTACATTACATCTAGACATATGGTTCTGTTGTTAATATTTTGGTCTCTCACATGGTACGATGTCATAGAACCACATCATTTACGAACTGTGTCTGCTATTTTGCAGCCATTATCATCACATAGCAATCTTCTATGTTAACAGAATATCATCTTTGATGATGAATATCTTTGTTTAAATGTCTGCATCACCATACTGAAGATGGCTCATGTGTGCTGAAAGCTTAGATCAAAGAACAGCTTAATAAAATAATATCCAAATGTTGAACAATTTTTGTCTTTATTTTCACCCGAAACTAAAGCAAATATATGGACTTTAGAATCACTCATAAAAGACATTCAATATCTGTTATGTTTAACAATATATATATATATATATATATATATATATATATATATATATATATATTCATCAAGTCTAGAAGAAACCTCAGCAGAAACCACTGGAGGGCCATTTCATCCTATATTTGGGACTCATCAGCAGTGCACATCCACTACCGAGAATTGAAACCTGGACAGCTACATTGGCAGGCAAATGTCATACCAACTGTACTAACGGGCCTCGGTGATGAAAAGGTAGTGAACTAGACTCTATATTGCGCTGCTTGTTCACATATTCCGTGGTGGAACTCATCCAAGTTCCTTTACCCATAGGACTGTGCCTCCAAGAGCCACGACTACCACCATATATATAGTAAAAGTGGAAAAGATTTTTATTGATAGTATGTTTTGCCTTCATTAGGTAGTTTTTTTTATTAAAGCCACTAATTCTTGCAGGACTTGAAACTAGTCCATTCCAAGCAGATCCTCATTACTCTCTTCACCAGCCTACATACCACATTGTGTCACTGTTGCTTCTGCAATGATTGGTGATATTATTTATGAGCCTGACAGGTTTATTGTTAGTAACATATCCTCAGCTTAGAACTCAAAATCACCACTGGCATTAGAAAAGTAGACACAATTGACACCATAGTTAGGAATCACAAAATGAAGGTCACAAACTTTGATAAAGGCTTTATACAGGGAATGACTACTGTGACAATGAGTACAGGAGACAAAACCACTATACCAAAGAGGTATGTAAAAACACTTGAGAAATCATCAAGAAACCAAAATATCACAATTACCTGAAAAAAAAAGGGAGGTGCCATCATATTGAACGGTAACACTTATTATTAAAAAAATAGAGATCCTCCTCCTCCTCAGAGATCCAAATATTTAGAAAATTCAAGAACATATTAACACTGAGACACAAAAATCCATCAAAAAGTTAGTTAGCAATGAAGAGAAATCATGGGTAAAACTGATAGAATATCATCCAACTATACCCAAGCTTTACGGCCTATCCAAGACACACAAATCAAGTACCGCTATACACCCATAGTATCTGGGATAAACATCACATCACACAAATTAGCAAAAGGCATAGAAAAAAAATAATTCCCTGTATAAATCCTTTGTCAAAGTCCTTGTCCTTCATTTTGTCATTCATAAATATGGTGTCAGTTGTGTCTCTTTACTACATAGAAATTCTGTGGCTAATTTGAAAAATTTTTACAGTTAATAAGAATTGTTTTAAAAATATCTGAACAAAACATTGAGATTTGTACATAGTAAAATGTTAAAATATAAATATGGTGATTTGGCATAGGAAAATAAAATAAAAAGTAATGGTGAGAAAAGTAAAGCCCATACCTCCATAGAAAATAATGAATATTTATGGTTCAAATTATATTGATATTATTTAGGTGTAAAAGAAAATATAAATTAAAATTTTATGAAGATGTTTAACCAGTTTTTCAAGATAAGGTGGAAG